CCTTCCTTCCGAGGAGTGGCTGGTGGGTTTGAACCGCCAGCCTTCTGGTTAGCAGTCAAGTGCCTTAGGCACTATGCTACCAATACTAGTAGCAATAAACACAATTCTTCCTTTGATGGCACTTTATAGTTTATCTCCATCATCTCTTTGGATTCTGACTGAAGCTGTGGGAGATAGGACAGAGATAACGGACCTTACCTCAAAGATGAGAAAACTGAGGCTCAGAGAGTTAAGAGGCTTCTCCAAGTTCAGTGATATTGCTGGGCTTTGAACCCAGGTCCCCAGACTCTGTGTCTCCTATGAAACCGGCAATCAGTCCAGGTTGCCCCTGGGGGAGGGAGGAGGAGGCTCACCTTCTGGCATTCGGTCAATGTCCACATAAAGGCGCAGCATGAGGCCGCCCAGCCCATAGGCTATGCCTGGCCCCAACATGGTCACTGCAAACAGGATCCCTGCAACACAAAGGCCAGGTTAGGTCCAGCTAGCTTTGGTTTCCCTCAGCAAGTTAGTGCCTGCCTAGCCTCATGGTGGGCAAGAGCAGCCTGTTTTCCCTGGTCAGGTCTGGGAAACTCTGTAGGGCTTCTCAGGGGCCTTTAGCAGCCACATGGGGCAGAGATCAGCAATTCTATTTCAGCCCCTGCCTGGGATCTCTTCTATGTGAGAGTGGCCTAGCTCTCAGGGCCCAGAGGGGTGGGATAGCACTCACCAAGGTAGAGGGGCGAGTTGCTGTTGTGAGAAAAGTCATCAATGTAGGAGATGCCAAAAGGTTGAATAGGCACAGAGCCCACTCCAAGCAGGGTCTGTGCCATGAACATTATCCCCACCACCACCAGATGCTGTGTCTCTATGTAGCTGGCGCAGCTGCCATTGGAGGGGGCTGGTACCAAGCCTGAGGATGTGGGTAGGCACAGGGAAGCCTTGAAATCCTGTGGCTGATCCTCTGCAGATGATAATAAAAAAAATATTATGACAATAAAATAGTTGCTGTCGAGTTGATTCTGACTCATGGTGCCCATGTGTCTCAAAGAACTATGCTCCACTATTGTAAAACATCAAGGAAAGGTTTATATATGAAAGAAAGCTTTCTTTGTTGGTTACCAGGGATGGGAGGGGTGGGGAAGGAACACTGCTAGATAGGTAGAGACAAGTATTGATTTGGACGAAGGGAAGGGCAATGTACCAAAACTAATGATCAACACAGTGGCACTGAGGAAGAGGAAGATGTAGAGAGGTATATGGGAGGTACAGACAACAAAGATGGAACCCTTTTGCATGTACAGTTTTATGTTGTCAATGATGGCAAGTATTGATCTAAGGGTGGATAGATGGGTGGACAGGCTGAACTATTAGGTGTGTCTAGGCAGGGAGCAGTGTGCCTATGACCATGTGTAGGGTTAGCAGACAATATTCCTATGCATATTTGTATGATCTGTAAGAATGTCCAGATGTATAGTACAGCTGACAATGGGCAAGGTTGTGGTGGCTTCATTACCACAGCCAGCTACCTCGAGGGAGTGAGTAGTTGGACCTGCAGGCTTGGGACTGAGGTCTCAGGGGACATCAAGCTCAATTGGGATAACATACTATACAAAAACATTGTTCTACTTCCTGCTTCAGTGAGTAGCAGCTGGGGTCTTAAAAGAATGCAAGTGGCTGTCTAGATGCAATGATGGGTCTTCCGTTCATCCAGAACAAAGAAGAATGAAGAAAACCAAAGATGCATGGAAACAATTAGTCCAAGGAACTGGTAGACCATGTGATCCTCAGCCTATATGACCATGAAACCAGAACTAGACGGGCCCCAGCTACCACTGTCAACCACTTGGAGGGGGATCAGTGCAAGAGGTCCTAGATAAAGTGGGAGAAACAACGTGGAACAAAACTCAAAATCATTAAAAAAAAAAAAACAGATTTGCTGGTCTGATAGAGCCTGGTGAGACTTCTGAGACTATGGCCCCTAGTTACCCTTCAGGTCTGGCACCAAACTCACTCCTGTGGCTTCCAGCAAAACAGTCCACAGGCATCTGGAGTGAACATTTACATCAGGTAGATACACTCTTTGGAGTGATCAGTCATGGGAGAACAGAAGGGCAGTGTTTACACAGGGTGACAGCTGGGGGAGGTGTGGGGTGGCAGTGCATGGGAGGGAAGGGAAGAGGTAGCTATGGGGAGGAAGTGGGAGGAGAGCTGTTACATTATGGAGAATTTCAGTCAATGTCATGAAACAAAATGTGTATGAACTTCTGTATGGAAAATGAATTTGCTCTGTAAACTTTCACCCAAATCACAATAATTTTTTTTTTTTTTTTTTTTAAAGAACTGTGCTCCATAAGGTTTTCAATAGCTGGGATTTTTCCAAAGTAGATTGCCAGCACTTTCTTCCAAGATGCCTCTGAGTGGATTCAAATTGCCAACTTTTCAGTTAGTAGCTGGACACTTAACTATCTATGCTATCCAGGGACTCCTGAATGACAATAGCTAATGTTTACATAGCACTTATCAATGCAAAGTACTGTTCTAAGTGCTTTGTATATAAATCACCGAACCCCCACAACAAACCTAGAGGTATGCTCATTATCTCATTTCACAGATGAGGAAACTGATGGTTAGGTAGCAACTGGCAAAGGGCAGAGGCAGGATTTGAACCCAGCAGTCTGGTTTCAGAGCCTAGAGCAGGGGACCCACACTTATCAAGGTGTAGAGGTGAGTTGCTTTTGTGGGCAAAGTCATCAATATAGGAGAAGCTGGAAAGTTGAATAGGTACAGAGGCCACCCAGGCCGGATCTGTGCCATGAACATTATCCCCACCACTGCCAGATGCTGTGCCTCTGTGTAGCTGTTTAAGACATTATACCCGCTTCTGAGCAGAGTTATGTAGAAGTGCTGTGGCAACAGCAGTTCTTGGGTGGGGTGGAGTGGTCAAAAGAGGTAAAGTTTGAACTGGGTCCAGAAGAACAAACAAGATTTTCCAGAAAGTAAAGAAAGGGAGAAGCTCTCCAGGGAGAGGTCACGGCATATGATTAGTGGCTTGAAAAGTGTTATGTTGGTAGAATGAGAAGAATTCTGGATTTGAGGCTGAAGGGCAAGGCCAGGACAGGAGGCAGGGCTGACAGAAGGGAGCTGGGGCTGGGTTGTAGAGGGTTCCAGTGGCCTTTGAGTTCATTTTGGGGTTTGATGTCAGCTCAGAAAAATAGCTGCAGAGTATAGTGAAGGTGAACTTCTTAATTTAGTACTAAACATTTGTTCCCTGTAGCTCACCAATATTTGGTGAGCAAAATTGTGGAGACAGTCACACTATTTTTATCCCAAATCCAGATGTAGGAATGGCTTTTTGTCTGTGGCCTGCCCAGCCCTTTCTGGGAGCCAGGGCTATAGGCTGTGTCTACTGCCCGAAGAGCTGCTCCCTGGACTAGAAAGTAAACCAAGTTCAAGAATCTGGGTTTGGATCTTCAACAGAGGCTGCTTGGGCCATACCATGTGACTTTAAGAGGCCTTTACCCCCTCTGGACCTTAATTTCCCCATCTCTCAAATGAGTCTCCTAGAATGGAAGCTCTAAGGAATTCGGAAGCAGAATATCTCAGTTGTTCAGAGCAAGGGCTCCGGGGCCAATGACCTGGGTGTTTCATAATTTTACTAGCTGTGGGCCTTAGGGAGCTCCGGTGGCATAGTGCCTAAGGTATTTGACTGCTAACTAGAAGGCTGGCAGTTCAAACCCACCAGCCAGTCCTTGGAAGGAAGGTTGGGCAATCTACTTCTGTAGAGATACCACCTCGGAAATCCAAGGAGGGGTCGCTATGAGTCAGATCCAACTCGATGGCAGTAGGTCCTGGGTGAGCCTTAGGAAATTCCTCCCCTCTCTGAGCCTTGGTTACCTCACTTATAAAATAGGATAATGATAACACTTGCCTTAAAGTGTTGTAAACATTAAGAGTGGTGAGTGTTGCCTGTGCTCAGAGCTTACTAGACATTAGATATGATGATTTAAGGATTGCGCCTATCTTTTAGGCCTGTGTTCCCAGTGCCTAGCAGAGGGCCTGGCACATAACAGAACTTAGTAAATGTTGGATAAAGAATGAATGCATGAAATAGCCTGGCATGTCAGAGACAGGTTCTGGGAGGCCACTGAGTCTAGTTTATTCATTGGACAGACTGAAGACTGAGGCTCAGACAGAAGAAAGCTTTTGCTCAAGGCTTCACAGGGAGCCTGGGACATAGTGGGGTGGTGTAACAGTGAGAATGAAGAAGAATGTGTGTGACCCTGCACAGAAATAACTGTTAAGGTAAAAGTTCTGGACAAATAAAACTAAAGAAGTGTTATGATTCAGCATTCCAATTAGTCCTCTTGACAACTCTCCAAGCCAAAAAAACCCACCACTGTTGAGTTGATTCTGACTCACAGCGACTCTCATTGGGTTTCTGAGCTGGTAAATCTTTATGGAAGTAGATTGTCTTGCTTCTGTGGAGTGGCTGGTAGGTTTGAACCACCAACCTTCTGGTTAACAGTCAGTTACCTTAGGCATTATGCTACTAGAGCTCCTTTGACAACTCTCCACTCAGACCTAAATAAACTACTCTGCATACTCTATAGTTTCCCACTGCCACCCTGGCCCATGTGGTTCCTCCACCTAAAACTGCAGTTCAAGAGCCACCACCTCCAGTTCCCTCCAGCTACAAGTGTCCTCCCCCTACTCAGAGTTCCAATGGCTCCCTCTGACCACCTCCTAAGTTGCTGGATTCTTTACACCTTGTAGCAGAGTTGTCCATGCTCACTCCAACCCCACATTCCTTGGGGCTGGTCATATGCTTCTTCTCTCCACCCCCTAGTCCTGGCAAAGAAGAGAAGCTCCTGAGGTGATGGGAGGACAAGGGAGGATGGATGCTCTCTGACAGCCTCCTCCTCTGGGAAAACCCTGCTGCTAAGCCGGGTTATGGGCTCCTTCTCTGGAGTCCTATAGCTCTTGGGTTTCCCTCCTTACATAACTGACACACTGTGGGATCATTGTTTGCCTCTATCTCCTCCCACCATACTGAGAGTTCCCTGTAGGCAAGGACTGATTCTTCTGAGAGAGTCTGACACAAAGTAGCCATTTCTAAGGGCTTGTTGGGTAAACCCCCAGATGGATGGATGGATGGATGGATGATTGGGTGGGTGGGTGGTTGAGTGGATGAGTGAATGGATGAATGGATGGATGGATGGCAGAGGGATGGAAGGAAGTAAATACTTAGGTATTTTCAAAGGGACAGGTACTCGTTTGTCAAGTAGGGTCTCAATAAAATCACACTGGGCTAAAATCACACTATTCATATTTAAAATTCTTGGTTGTTTTCATTTGTCCATTCATTTATTCACTCATTCATTATTTCATCAATGTCTTGGCTTCTTGTGAAGATTAAAAGCACTAATACAAGAAAAGTGCTAATAATGGTGTCTGGTGCATCATAAGTGGTGTACAATTCTGCTATTATTATTCCACAGATATTTCCTAAGTACCTACTGCATGTCAAACCCTAATTTACGATGTATTGTAAATTCGTCTCTATCTTACAAAACACCATGACATACAAGCAGACTCTCACCAAAAGAGACCAGAGGGCCTCACCATTCTGCCCTGGGATACACTCTACCCCACATCCAAGGACTGGATCTCAGGGAGGCAATGGGGGTGGCGGTGGAGAATAGCAGATGCCGTGGGAGGCTGGGACCCATCCTGATTGATGTCGGTCTGCAAATGGCCTGGTGCACAAAATGCAGCTCATCATGTCCATCTCCAACCCAGCCCTTTCTGCTCTTACCTTGGCTAGTTTCGTCATAGCGGTATGGTTTTGAGATGAAGTGTGGGAGGCTCATGAGCAGGCTCGCCAGGGCCACAAGGACAGCCCCACAGCCAATCAGTCGAGGCCGGTGTACACGACTGCCAAAATAACTCACAAACACAATCAGGGCTGTGTTTCCCACCTGCAAAAAGACAAGGGGACCCATTTAAGTTGGATAGAGCCCTGTAGGAGAGGCTTGCATCATCCTTATGACTATTACCAACCTCAGTTTTTCCCATGTGCATAGAGGACCACCTGGGTAAATAACAATCATCTATGTCCTTCTTAGCAGCCCCGGTGATGCAGTGGTTAAATACTTGGCTGTTAACCAAAAGCTTGGTGGTTTGAACTCATCAGTGGCACCAAGGGAGAAAGATGTGGCAGTTTGCTTCTCTAAAGATTTATAGCCTTGGAAACCCTATGAGGCAGTTCTACTCTGTCCTACAGGATAGCTATGAGACAGAATTGACTCAACAGTGGAAGGTTTGTTTTTTCAGATTAGGTCCTTTTCATAAATAAAGATTCTAGATCCTCCTAGGAAGAGCCCCACTGCCCCTTAGGGGAGAAAAATGAGGACAAAGAGGACAAGGCCAGAAATTCAATTTTATTTTGGAACATGGCTTAGACCCTATGTTGGAATACAGAGGAGGTGTTGTTGTTGTTGTTATGTGCCATCAAGAGGTAGTCAAGGAAAATGGTTTTGAGTTTCTGGGAAGTCATGAATGAGAGAAATTCATAAAGTCTAAAGCCAGAAGTCTAAATTTTGGAATTCTGAACCCTAGAACCAAAATTCTAGAATGTGGGCACTGGAGGGGACTTGAGAGCTTGCAGGGAAGGGGTAGGCTCTGCAGTCAGAAGCTGGGCTTTAAGTCACAGCTCCACTGTTTACCGGCTGATGGTCATGGGTGAGATACTCACACCTCTGAGCCTCAGGCTCCTCGCTGGGGAAGTGGGCACTATCAGCAGTGGACCAATCACTCTCTATTTTATAGATGAGCTACTGAGGTCCAGAGAGGGAGAGTGACTTGCCCACGGTCCCACAGCAAGGTAATAACTTTCACTTCCCACATCTGTGATCTGGAAGTAGTGTGATGAGGGACATCTGGGGACATTGTGTAGCGGGCAGGCCTTGGGTTGGGAGGAATGTGATACATTACTCAAGGGGGAGAGAATTTCACAGAATCTGCTTGGGGGTGAGGGAATAAGAGTGTGTTCTCTGGACATTTGCCTCTTTGAGGGTGAAAATACATCTGGTGGGCAAGGGAGTGGGCCACAGCTAGACTCTGATCTCCCAAATGCAGCTCCTCCACTCCTAGTTGGAGGTTGGCCCGAGGCAGAGGCCTGAGGATCTCTGGGCAACTCTGAGGACTCTACCCTGCAGGCCAGGGAATCACTCCCTCTTCCATCATCCTCCCCCAGATTTGAAAGTTCTACCTTTGACCTAATTTAAACCTCTCTTGCTGTTACTATTGAAGTGACTTCCTCTGATTCCTGCCCAGGACAGGCAATAGCTAGGTGTCTGGAAAGATAAAGGAACCAGATGGAGAGAGAGTGGACATGGGGATCCCAGCTAGCTCTCAAATGTCCCACATCCTCCATAGAATGCTGGCAAGGGAAGGATGGCCAGGTCTTTACAAAACCTGGGCAGATGGAGGACTCCTCTGGGCCTCTGTCTTAAGCACATGGCTGGTCAATTTCTTGGCCAGGGAGCTTTGGAAGGGGCAGGCTAAGGAGAGTTTGGGGAGAGGCTACGGTGGGGGTTGCTTGAAGGCACTGGGAAAGGAGGGGTTTGTAGTGGGGTGGTGAGGGAGGAGGGCGGGAGGAGGTGGGCCGGGACCAGTACCTCATTGAAGGCAGCCAGCAGTCCTGAGGTCTGGCTGGAGAGGCCGAAGCGCTTCTCCACGGTAGAGATGGAGCTCTTGAGGTAGCCGGAGATCATGAGCTGGGACAGCTGCAACAGGCTGTGGCACAGGATGAAGAACTGCCAAGGTTATCACAGAGATGGTAGTGGGCAGAGGGACAGAGAAATGATGTAGAAGAGCCAAATCAGATGTGGGTGGAGAAACAACCAGTGGAGGGGAAGACCCTCAGAGGGATGGAGTTGGGGAAAGAAAGGGAGAATGAAGTCAGGAGAGGGACAAAAAATGGAGGTGGGGAAACAGAATCAGAGGAAGCAGACACACAGGAGGAGAAGACAAATTAGGGAGGGAGAGTCAAGAACAAGAGTGACACAGAGAAGGAGAGACAAGGGGGACAGAGAGAAAGAAAAAGAGTGAGTTAGTGGAATGGCCCAAAGCTTCTCACACACTCCTAAAAACTAGAAAAGCTGTCCTAGATCCATTCCAGGAGTCTGAAGGCCACCCAAGATCCACTCTCACAGCTGAGAATAGGGCTTTCATGGGACCAGGAAAGGTGGGATCCCTTTTTGACCCTCAGAGCTCCCCTTTGAACTGGACTAGACCTTTCATCCTGCTTCTACCACCCTGTCCCTTTCCCCAGGAAGCCAGATTCGCCCAGATCCTCTCCACCCCACCCTCACCTGGGCCTGCCCTAGAGACTGTACACACCAAACCGCAAGCTGCTCCACCCCACTCCACCCCAAATATCCCAGCCTTCCTCCAGTCCCCCTCCTGAAAAACTGGCAGAATTCCTAATAGAAGACAAATCTTCTTCAAAGACTAACTTTAAAAAAAGAAAAAAAAAAAAGAGTATTCATGCCAGGGTTCATAGCTTTCAGTTATGAGTCTTGGTTTCCTCATCAGTACAATAAGGACATCCCAGGGTTGTGAGAGCTGAATAAAACCATGTTTGCACAGCCACTGACAAGGGACCAACACCCAGTAGGTACTCAGTAAGTGTTTAGATGTTTGAGGCTGCCCTTGGTGGAGCCAGAATTCATGTAGATTTGGGATCCTTGGTCCTTCTTATCCTCCTAGGGAAGCTCTGGTAGCATAGTGCCTAAGGCACTTGACTGCTAACCAGAAGGCTGGCGGTTCAAACCTACCAGCCACTCCTCGGAAGGAAGATGGGGCAATCTACTTCCGTAGTGATACTGCCTCGGAAACCCAAGGAGGGGTCGTTATGAGTCATGGCCGACTCGACGGCACATAACAACAACAACAGGGAAGTTAGGGGACTTGGGCCCCACAGCCCACATAGCAGCCCCTCTTTTCTCCCTAGGTGATGGGGAACAGTTACTGGGCACCTTCCATGTACCTGAAACCAAGGTAAGTGCTTTTGTATATCATTCCTTTCATCCTCACAGCCACTCATTCTACAGAGGAGGAAATTGAGGCTGAGAAAGACAACAACTTGCTTGGCGTTATACATCCAGTAAACAACAGAGGCTGCTCTGCTGGGCTTGGATGCCCGAGCCCCTGACAGGCCCTGAGAGGTACCTTGATGTTGTGGAACACACTTGGCCGCAAGTCCTGAGGGCCTGGGCTGGCTTTGCCTCCAGGTGTGCCTTCTGTGTTTAATGTGACCTCGATGTCCTTGTCTGCCATCTGAGGTCCCTCATCCTCTGGCCCTGTGGGACAGACAGCCAAGAAGTGAGAGTGGAGATGGAATATCAGAGAATGGTCCTGCCCCATGTAACCCAGACCCTGGAAGAACCAAGGTGCTTCATGAGGAAGGAGCCTTAGTTGTTGCTGAGAATCTGAGAACCAAAGCACTCAGCCCTCCTGAGTCCCAGGTTATGGTACTAGAAGGCACCTTCCTAAGACGGTTTGTGTTCCACCTGCCCATGCTGGCCAGCTCCCTACTAAGGACCACGTATTATATATTCATTCCATTTCCTTCTAGAGAGAAGCTGCTGGCCCCTCCATGCACACAAACCTGTGAGCAAACGATGGCCTGAGCAGCAGGGATGAATGAAGCATGCTCTCTCAGCACCCCCTTGGGCCTAGAGGTGTGAGACACTTGGTGTTCTTGGAGGCTGAGTCTGGGCCTGGGGATGGGTCTCTCTTGCTCTGCTGAGATTCAGGGGTCTAATATCAGGTCAAGGCTCAATCCATATTCAGGGAATAAAAGTTTGTCCTGGGTATAGGTCAGAACAGATACTAACATCCTCACAGGGAATCACCCTGTGTATAAAATCATTGAGCAAATCAACCCAGTGCTCAAATTATACCAGCAAATCATATTGCTGATCAACACAAAAGGGCCCTCAAAGGTCTTCTCATTTCACCCTCTCCTAGACAAACTAGGGCTCCAGGCTTTGGATGACTTCGAGACAAGACTGTGGTTAGAACTTGGATCCTTGGCCCCCATTATGCATACTGGTTTTCTTTCATGGTAACTACGTCAATATCTTACTCACTTAGGTGAGATGAAAGAGACTCCTCCCAGAGTCTCCTGGTGTTTAATCTCAGTGGGAAGTCCAGAAGTTTGGCTTTGGGAGACTCCATCCTTTCATTTAAATGTAAACCACCTGTCCCTCCAAGCAGTCCAAGTCTCCTTGGCCTTCCTGGAGCCCTACTTCCTGTCAGAAGCTTCTCCATTGTTTCAAATCCCTTTCAACTCTAGCAGGAGTTTCCCCTCATTCAACTAGCTCCTACTACAGCATGAGGTGATCTCAGGACACCTCTGACCTGGGGAACTCTCCTGGGGTCATTACTCCCCTCATTCCATCTCCAGGCCTGGAAGACAAGTTAAGGAGTGGAATACAGAGGCCCTGAGCTTCCACAAACAAAAGTTTCGTGTTCCTCGTACAGAGTCCCTGGGAGCCTGAGGAATTTATTTTTTAGTTGAGATATAATTCACATACCATAAAATCTACCCTTTAAAAGTGTACAATATAGTGGTTTTTCTATATTTACAAAGTTGTACAACCATCCCCACTAACTCCAGAATATTTTCACCACCCTCATGAAATATGAGCCACTCCTCATTCCTTCACCTCTCAACCCTGGTAACCATTAATCTACTTTCTGTTTCTATAGATTTGCTGATTCTGAACATTTCACATAAATGAAACCTTACAATTATGAGAATTTCTGTGAGTGATTTCTTTCACTTAGCATAACGTTTTCAAGGTTCGTCCATGTTGTAGAATGTTTTAGTACTCCTTTTTTTTTTTTTTTAAATATATGGTTGAATAATATTCCAATTTTGGATTTAACACATTTTGTTTATCATTCATCAGCTGATGGACATTTGGGTTGTTCTTACTTTTTGGCTATTGTGAATAATGCTGCTATGAATATCTGTGCACAAGTTTTTGTGTGGACATGTATCAGTTTATTGGGTAGATAACTGAGAGTGGAATTGCTGGGTCATATGGTAACTATAGGAGCTCTGGTAGTGTAGTGCCTAAGGCACTTGACTGCTAACCAGAAGGCTGGCGGTTCAAACCTACCAGTCACTCCTCGGAAGGAAGATGGGGCAATCTACTTCCGTAGTGATACTGCCTCGGAAACCCAAGGAGGGGTTGCTATGAGTCGGGTCCAACTCGACAGCACATAACAACAACAACAACAACAACAACAACATGGTCAGTATGTTTACCTTTTTGAGGAACCCAAACTGTTTTCTACAGTGGCTTCACCATTTTACATTCCCACTAACAATATATAAAGGTTACATTTTCTCTATATCCTCAACAACGCTTGCTATTAGCTGACTTTTTGAGTATGGGCATTCTAGTGAGTATGAGAAATCCCTGGGTGGTACAAACTGTTAACATGCTCAACTGCTAACCAAAAGGTTGAAGGTTTGATTCCACTCAGAGGCACCTTGGAAGAAAGAACTGGTGATTTAAATTAGCCAGTGAAAACCCTATGGAACACAACTCTATGCTGACAAACACAAGGTTGCCATGAGTTGGAGACAGCAACTGTTAGTGGCTGTAAAGTGGTACCTCACTGAAGTTTTGGTCTGACTTTCCCTGATGCAAACTAATGACATCGAGCCTTTTTTTTCATGTACTTATTGGCAATCTACTTCCATAGAGATATCACCCTGGAAGCTCCGGGAGGGGTCGCTATGAGTCAGATTCCAGTGACAGCAGTGAGTTTGGAGTTTGTTTTTGGTATTGGCTATATCTTCTCTCAATCTACTTCTGTAGTGATACTGCCTTGGCAACTCAAGGAGGGGTCGCTGAGTAGGGACCGGACTCGAGGGCACATAACAACAAAACAAACAACAAATATCTTCTCTAGGGAGCTCTGGTGGCATAGTGCCTAAGGCATTTGACTGCTAACCAGAAGGCTGGCGATTCAAACCCACCAGCCATTCCTCGGAAGGAAGGTTGGGCAATCTACTTCCGTAGTGATATCACCTCAGAAATCCAAGGAGGGGTCGCTGTGAGTCACTATGAGTCGGATCCGACCCAATGGCAGTGCGTACATGTGTATATCTTCTCTAGAGAAATGTCTATTCAAATAGTCTACAGAATTTAACTGAGGAAATGGAAGTATGTATGGCTGGGGAGAAGTCATAAACACTCAAAAGGAACAAGACAATACTGAAACAAAACTGACACCTGACAGGGAGAAGATGACAGGCTGAGCCAGCAAAGGGAAGTGTGATGGAAGACTCTAAGGAGGTGACTTTGGAGAAGAGGAGGTAAGGAGGTTCAAAGCAGATTCTCCCAGAGGAGACTGAAGGAACCATTTCTGAGTCTCAGTTTCTCTCCTAGCAGAGACTAGCTATGTGCTATATACTCTAGGTGCTGGGGCCCCAAGTAGGTCAGATGGTTCTGGGAGCCCATAACCAAGGAGCTGGCTATATTCAGGCATGCCTTTCATGCACTGGCTTGGAAAACCTCTCCACAGCTCTGTACCTTTGGTGCTTTTATTTCTATGCTTCTGATGAGGACACTGAGGTTCGGAGTCACAAGTTATACTGGTTGACATTGATCCAGGCACTCAAGTCCAGGTGTTAACCTCAACATCACTTGATGCAGGAAAGAAGCACAATGTTCTTCCCTGCCTTGGCCCAACCAAACCTAGCCAGGTCACCTCAAAGGAAGCAATGCCTGCCCACTAAAGGGCCAAGCTAACCAGCTGACAGGCTGGTGCTGAGGCAGGGAAAGCAAAAGTCACTGACCTGAATGATGCAGGGAATGGTTGGGGAAGGGGGATTAAAAGTCAGTGGGCCAGCCTAGAACCTTTTGCCTGCTACCTGTGGCCCAGTCTCTGCAGAGAGGCAGATCCAGTCTGAGCCCCAGGTCATATCCTAGACCCATTGCTTGGCCCCGGACACAGTTAGGGGGATCTTCCCTGCATTCCAAATTATCTAGCTCTGGCTCCAATCCTCCACTTTCTCACCAGCTCATACCACAAGCCTGCTTACCTATCTGCTCACCTGTCTGGCCCCTGCTCCAGTCCTACATCTGGTCCTCTCAAAAATTTCTATTTCAGCTTCCTCTGCCCAGGCACAGTCTGGCCTGGGATTATTTTCTCTTTCAAAGATATAGTTGTTTCTGATTTTTGTGTTTGTGTATGTGTGTGGGTGGCAGTGGGGGGGATAGAGTCCATAGCCTGAGCCTTTGGGTCTGGGAGGGAAGCAAGGAAGCCCTGGTCATTTCTCTCTGGGCTCTGTGGGAAGCTGTCCATCAGCAGGTTGGGTGATCAGCTGGTCACTGAGCAAGGCAGGACAGGCAGGTTCAGTCTATCCCAAGCCCTTCCTGTGGACTGTGGCTTCTACTGAGCAGCTGGCAGCAAACAATCTGACTCTTTGATTGAGGACAGAACTCCCCTTGGAAGGAGGGTTCTGACACAAGGGCTTCTCGTAAATGTCCTTCTCACAGGGAAGGGACACTGAGACCTTTCCCTCTCCCTGGAAGCTTTAGTGAGAGGCTAGCCCTGACAAAAGGGGAGATCAGCTGTGGGAGTGAACCTTAGCTTGTGGGCTAAGGCTGAGCCTGGAATGGGAGTGAGGGGAAGGACATAGAGCCAGACCCCAAGAAGAAAATCCCAATCCCTTTCCCTCCCTGGTAGACTATCAGGTTTTGGGGTCCCAAGCAGGACAGGTGGTTCTAAGGGCTGGGAGCCCATAACCAAGGACCTGGAAGGCAGGGGTTCTATATGCCTGTCTGTCTGCCTACTTGGCTGGTCAGTTATGCAGGCATTCCCATGTATATCAGCTAATAAATCAGCCAGTCATTGGTTCAGCTGTCCCTTGTGACTTGTCTGGTCAGTAAGCTGGTCAGATAGTCTCCCTAAACTCTGTTAGGCAGAGTTTTTGTTTACTAGGTAGCTGGTCAATAAGAGATTCCATCCGTCAGTCAGAGGGCATGGCCCTAGCTACCCTATCCATGAGCAGTTATCAGCATTCTTTACACCAGCTGAGCCAGGATAATGAGAGACAAGGGTTCAGAGACCAGCCTGATAGGGAGACTTTCCCTGTCCATGCCTTGACAGAAAGGCTCAGTCATCCCCCAGCTGCAAACAACTAATAACAGGGAGAAGTGAGGCTGGATGTAGGCTTTGGGGTCCTCAGACCTGGATTTGCATCTCAGTTCTGCCACAAGTCCACTGTGGGAGCCTAGACATGGCCCTTAATCTTTCTTAGCCCTCATTTCATCATCTGTAAAGTGAGGATAAGAGTATCCACATCAAGGAGGTAAGGCATCTAGGGCATCTGGCCCAGTGCACAACACACAGTGACACCCACCGAGGGCCATTTCCTTCCCTACAAGCACTGCAAAGTGAATCCATTCCTTTCTCATGCACAGCTGGTCCCCCTCCAAGTTATGGCTGCCATTCTGATATCACAGTCCACCTCACGCTCCATCAGAATTCTCTCTGAATTATCTCTTTCCCTCTCACCTAAGCCCCAATCAACCGTGAGACTCAACCCTGAGTGAGGAATTGCCTTTGGAGGCAATTACCCCAGCATTTGAATCCCCCCAGCTGCTCACCCAATATGTAGCCTAGACCAGCAACCCCTTTGATTTCTCAACTGCACTGCAGGGACTGAGATCCCTATTTCTCAGTGTAGAGAGTGCCCACTGAAAACCAAAACAACCATCTACCCTCACACAGCCTGGGAACTGACCACCCAAACAACCCCTCCATCTACAGCTTTGCAATTCCATTGTCTTTATTAGAATTCTTTACTGTTCTCAGACTGTCCTGCTTAAACAACTAGTTTGATTGCTCCTTACTGGAATTTCCTGACTCAGCTCTACAATGGAAAACATCAACAGTTTGCTTTTCCTTAGTCTTTGAATCCCTCCTCTCAAAATCCTTGCCTTGCTGTTTCCACCAATCCTGAACCGTTATATCATGATCCTTTGTTGTTGTTGTTGTTGTTGTTGTTAGGTACTATCAAGTTGGCTCTGACTCATAGTGACCCTATGTACAACAGAAAGAAACATTGTCTGGTTGTGTGCCATCATCACAATCCTTGCTATGCTTAAGCCCATCATTGCAGCCATTCAATCCATCTTGTTGAGGGTATT